TGCTGTCGTGTGTTTGGTATACCTTGTGTTCACCTCCTTTGCATTTGCCCCCGTCGTGGGGCAAATTGTAAAAAAATTGTAAATTGTTGAGAGTACCACTACATGACCACCGAGATGCGGGAACAAGTCGCACGACTGCACGGAAGCAAGGTCAAGTCAAACCCAAAGGCGTTTTACAGCTATGCAAAGTGGGAAATTAAAAATGCGAGTAGGAGTATCAGACCTGAGGCTTGAAGGTGGTAGTTATGCAGAATCTGACCAGGATAAAGCTGAAGCATTGAACAGCTTCTTTTCCTCGGTGTTCACAAGAGAGGATGCGATTAACCTTCCTGTGTTTGAGGACAGACGGTTCGACACAGCACTGACCCACATTGTGTTCACAGAAGAGGGTATAAGAAATAAACTGTCAAAGCTAAAGGTCCATAAAAGTCCCAGCCCTGACATGGTGCATCCCAGAGTGCTAAGAGAGTTGTGCAACGAGCTTGCCGAGCCCTTGAAGATACTGTTCTCTAAATGCCTGGATGAACAAAAGGTCCCCAGTGGCTGGAAATTGGATTGTGTGAGTCCTATCTATAAGAAGGGCAATCGTCACTCCATGAACAACTATAGACCGGTGAGCCTGACCAGCATAATATGTAAAGTAATTGAGAGTATTATCAGCGATGACGCGATGGAACATCTACTACGAAATAACCTTGTAAAGGATTGCCAACATGGTTTTATGCAGGGGCATTCCTGCTTAACACAATTGCTCAAGGTATGGATATTTGGACCCATATTCTGGAACGGGGTGGTAATATCGACACTATATACCTAGATTTTGCCAAGACTTTCTACAGTGTACCCCACGAAAGGCTGAAAATCAAACTGGAAGGGTACGGAATTCAGGGAAATGTCCTAGTGTGGATAGAAGACTTTCTACATGACCGCAAGCAGTGTGTGGTGATTAATGGCACGAATTCATCATCTGTTCCTGTCACAAGCGGGGTACCACAGGGCAGTGTATTGGGCTCGCTGTTGTTTGTTTGTTAAATAAATGACATGCCTGACGTTGTACACTCCTCCATACGAATGTTTGTGGATGACGCCAAGTTATTTAGGGAAATCAAGAACCAAGCGGACTGTGAAGAGTTGCAGAAGGATCTGTGAGCTCCAAAAATGGTCGAAGAAATGACTGCCGAGATTCAATGTCACGAAGTCTAAGAGGATGCACCTGGGACGTACCAACGGTAATGAGGCATATCATATGTCCCAACGGGATGGGGAAACTGCACTACCGGTATTTGAGACAGAATATGAGAAGGACCTAGGTGTGTATGTTGACAATGAGCTGAAGTTCTCAGGCCATTGCTAGAAGAAGGTAAATCGGGCAAATAAATTATTAGGTCTTATAAGGTCGTTCAGATATCTAGACAGTCCGTCCCTCGTACCGATCTTCAAGAGTGAAGTGCTTCCCCATCTGGAGTACTGTCACCCTGTCTGGTCCCCTAGATATACTAGGGACTGTCAGTTGGTTGAAAATGTTCAAAGGAGGGCCACCAGACTGGTGCCTGCGCTTCAGCACTTCAACTACCCTGAGAGATTGGAGCACCTGAACTTGCCTAGCTTATACTACAGAGGGGCAAGGGGCTACCTAACTGAGGTGTACAAGCATCTCGAGGGGCACTACTCAGTCGAGTGTCCTTACTTGGAGTTGGCGGACGCTCGCCCCACAAGCGGTCACAGCTCAAGATTGAAGGCAAACTTTTTTGGAGTGAGAGTTGTGAACTCTTGGAACAGTCTGCCAGAAAGTGTTGTGATGGCACAAGTGTAAGCTCTTTCAAGACCAGACTTGGCCAACACTGGAGCAGGTTCAGATACACTCGGGAGCCGGTGCCTGCCCAGTACCTGCCAACAGTGCATAACAGAGACATGACCGATAGCCCAAGCGGCTAACGAGCCGATCAGTGGTGAAGAGGATAAAAGACATGTTTGTTAATTCGACGGCACTCGCGCGGGTGTGCGCGTGTGGGGAGGGTATGTTTTTGTGTGGGAGGGGAGTGTTTATGTGCATATGTGGGGGTGTGTGGAGGGGTGTATATGTGGGGGTGTGTGGAGGAGTGTTTATGTGGGGGGTGTATATGTGGGGGTGTGTGGAGGGGTGTATATGTGGGGTGTGTGGAGTGTTTATGTGGGAGTGTGTGGAGGGGTGTTTATGTGGGGTGTGTGGAGGGTGTATGTGGGTGTGTGTGGAGGGGGTGTATATGTGGGGGTGTGTGGAGGGGTGTAAATGTGGAGGGTGTGTGTATATGTGGGGTGTGTGTGTTTATGTGGGGGGTGTGTGGAGGGGTGTATATGTGGGGTGTGTGGAGGTGTTTATGTGGGAGTGTGGGAGGGGTGTACATGTGGGGTGTGGAGGGTGTGTGGGGTGTGTGGAGGGGTGTTATGTGGGGGTGTGTGAGGGGGGTGTTTATGTGGGGGGTGTGTGGAGGGTGTATATGTGGGCGGTGTGTGGAGTGTTTATGTGGGGTGTGTGGAGGTGTACATGTGGGGGTGTGTGGAGGGGTGTATATGTGGGGGTGTTTATGTGGGGTGTGTGGAGGTGTGTATGTGGGGGTGTGTGGAGGGTGTATATGTGGGGTGTGTGGGGTGTGTGGAGGTGTATATGTGGGGTGTGTGGAGGGGTGTATATGTGGGGGTGTGTGGAGGGTGTATATGGGGTGTGTGGAGGGTGTATATGTGGGGGTGTGTGGAGGGGTGTGTATGTGGGGTGTGTGGAGGGTGTATATGTGGGTATGTGGAGGGGTGTATATGTGGAGGGGTGTATATGTGGGGGTGTGTGGGGGTGTGTGGAGGGTGTATATGTGGGGGGTGTGTGGAGGGGTGTATATGTGGGGGTGTGTGGAGGGGTGTATATGTGGGGTGTATATGTGGGGGGGTGTGTGGAGGGGTGTATATGTGGGGTGTGTGGAGGGGTGTATATGTGGGGTGTGTGGAGGGGTGTATATGTGGAGGGTGTTTATGTGGGGTGTGTGGGGTGTGTGAGGAGTGTTTATGTGGGGGTGTGGAGGGGTGTATATGTGGAGGGTGTATATGTGGGGGTGTGTGTATGTGGAGGGGTGTTTATGTGGGGAGGTGTTTATGTGGGGGTGTGTGGAGGGTGTGTATGTGGGGGTGTGTGGAGGGGGTGTATATGTGGGGGTGTGTGGAGGGGTGGAGGGGTGTGGAGGGGTGTATATGTGGGGGTGTGTGGAGGTGTGTATGTGGGGGGTGTGTGGAGGGGTGTATATGTGGGGGTGTGTGGAGGGTGTATGTATATGTGGGGTGTGTGGAGGGGTGTATATGTGGGGTGTGTGGAGGGTGTATATGTGGGGTGTGTGGAGGGGTGTTTATGTGGGGGTGTGTGGAGCAGTGTTTATGTGGGGGTGTGTGGAGGGGTGTATATGTGGGGGGTGTGTGGAGGGTGTATATGTGGGGGTGTGTGGAGGGGGTGTATATGTGGGGGTGTGTGGAGGGTGTATATGTGGGAGTGTGTGGAGGGGTGTATATGTGGGGGTGTGTGGAGGGGTGTATATGTGGGGTGTGTGGAGGGGGTGTATGTGGGGGTGTGTGGAGGGGTGTATATGTGGGGTGTGTGGAGGGGTGTATATGTGGAGGGGTGTGTATGTGGGGTATATGTGGGGGTGTGTGGAGGGTGTATATGTGGGGTGTATATGTGGGGGTGTGTGGAGGGTGTATATGTGGGGTGTGTGGAGGGGTGTATATGTGGAGGGTGTATGTGGTGTGTATATGTGGGGTGTATATGTGGGTGTATATGTGGGGTGTATATGTGGGGTGTATATGTGGGGGTGTATATGTGGGGTGTGTGGAGGGTGTATATGTGGAGGGTGTATATTGGGTGTGTGAGGGGTGTATATGTGGGGGTGTGTGGAGGGGGTGTATATGTGGGGGTGTGGATGTATGTGGGGGGTGTGTGGAGGGGTGTGTGTGGGGGTGTGTGGAGGGGTGTATGTGGGTGGGGGGGTGTTTTATGTGGGGTGTGTGGAGGGGGTGTTTATGTGGGGTGTGTGGAGGGGTGTTTATGTGGGGGTGTGTGGAGGGTGTTTATGTGGGGGTGTGTGGATGTGTGGGTGTGTGGAGATGTGGGGGGTGTGTGTGGGGGTGTGTGGAGGTGTTTATGTGGGTGTGTGAGGGGTTATGTTGTGTGGAGGGGTGTATATGGGGGGGGTGTGTGGAGGGTGTATATGTGGGGGTCTGTGGAGGGGTGTGTGGAGGGGTGTATATGTGGGGGTGGTGTGTGGGGTGTGTGGAGGGTGTATATGTGGGGGGTGTGTGGAGGGGTGTATATGTGGGGGTGTGTGGAGGGTGTATATGTGGGGGTGTGTGGAGGGTGTATATGTGGGGGGTGGGGTGTGGAGGGGTGTTTATGTGGGGGGTGTGTGGAGGTGTTTATGTGGGGTGTGTGGGGGTGTGGTGGGGGTGTGTGGAGGGTGTTTATGTGGGGGTGTGTGGAGAGGTGTATATGTGGGGGGGGTGTGGGTTTTGTGTTTATGTGGATGGAGGATGTTTATGTATGTAAGGGGTGTTTATAATTTTGTGTGAGGGATGATTCGTGTGTGTGTAGGAGGCGTTTTTGTGTGCATGTTGGGGTGTGTTTGAGTGTCTGTCTGTGGGAAGCTGTTAAGTGTATGTGTGTGTTTGGGATTTAGTGTGCAGCCGTCTGTGGTCGCCAACCCTGATATGATTATGGCATTTTTGATTGATTTGGGGTAATGGTCAACCAGTACGATTGGCAAATTAACCTGTGTTCTTATATTATTTCTTAACACTAGGCCATACAACTCGAAGTAGCCATTATTTTTATTATTATACTGTGGAGGGGGGGGGGTGTTGCAATTGTATGTGTGTAATATTTTTTGGGGGAAATCTAGCGTATTTTAATTATTCTTATCGACGTTTGATGCCTAAAATAACTCGCAGTTGGCAACTTAGTTATTATCAGCCATGTTACGGTGTCACCTGTAAAGTCATTTTTTTGTTGTATCATGCGTAATAGACAGTTCCCTTGAGGAGTAATTAAAACAGCCCAGCCCAGCACGATGATGAAGGAAGATCTCGCCGTCACCAACTTCAGGAACTACATTAGGATTAAGACAGTCCAGCCGAATCCAGATTATGGTAAGGAATATTTAAATTATTGTATCGTAGGTAGGATAAAATTGGGGTAAATGTTACTTTTAGTCCTGTAATCGGTAAAGGTGTAGAAGAGGGTGACCACCAGAAGGAATTGACTGAATTGGTTGAAATTTTTTCTCCACTCTAATATCATGATATTAAACACAAAAATGGAAACGACAATGCATAGAACCTAATAGAACCTGACCTAACATACCCATAGGTTGGGTATGTTAGGTCAGGTTCTATTAGGTTCTATGCATTATCGTGTTAATTTATGTGTTAAACAACTTACCTTAATATTGAGGTTGTGAGAATTGTAAAAGCGGGATAGAGTAAATAAAAAGATTGTCAGGTTCTATGAGGTTCTATGCATTATCATTTCCATTTCTGTGTTTAATATCATGTTATTAGCATTATATAAAAAGATGGTAATCATATACAACCAACCCACGAGCAAAATTGATTGAAAACAATTATAAAAACGCCGGATTTTCATTGTTATATTATAGTGGACACTGTTGTAGTTTGTGGAAATGTTTAAAAAATAGATAAATTATTTTTAGAATAAATGCTAATTAACATTTGTGGGTTATGAAGAACAGATCTAACCAAGCAAACCTACCTAACCTTACCTAAATTCCGCAGTATATTAAGCAGAAAGAACTTAATATGATATCGTGAAATTTGAGGCATTTTCTGGACGTGAGATGATACGGCTGCATCGGTGCTATGCAGCCCTGGCGGGTTAGTCCTATATGTTCACCAAAAAAATAAATAAAAAATAGTGCATAGAACCTAATAAAACCTGACCTAACATACCCAACCTATGGGTATGTTAGGTCAGGTTCTATCAGGTTCTATGCATTGTCGTTTCCATTTTTGTGTTTAATATCATGATATTAGAGTGGAGAAAAAAATTCAACCAATTCGGACAATTCCTTGTGGTCAATTTATAGTATCACACCTGTCTTTATTTCGATATTAAAAATAGTTTTTTCTTATGTATTTTGATGAGTTTGGAACGAATTTGATATTCATTTCCACAGGAAATCACATGTTTTTTTTAGATATCCCCACACACCCAACAATCATAACAGAAAGTTTGGATTTCTTTTTTAGAATAAATAACTTAAATTATATAACCAACCAACCAAGAAAACCCAACCTAACCTAACTCGTTGTTCATGCCCCAGACGCTTAAAGAGTGAAAACGGAGGCCTGGAGCGATGCGTGAGCAAGGCGTCAGACCACCTCCGCCTTAAGTAAACAAATCTGGCGACACTTGTGACTGAGGTCCTTTTCACACTCAGTCTCAATGCAGTTTCTTTGTCCCGATACACCTCCTTACCGTTGGTACTTCCCAGGTGCATCCTCTTACACTCCGTGACATTGAATCTCGGCAGCCATTTCTTCGACCATTCTTGAAGCTTACAGAGATCCTTCTGCAGCTTTTCACAGTCTGTTTGGTTCTTAATTTCCTGAATAACTTGGTGTCATCCGCAAACATTTGTATGGAGGAGTGTACAGCTTCTGGCATGTTATTTATGAAGCAAACAAACAACAGCAAGCCCAATACACTGCCTTGTGGTACCCCACTTGTGACGGGTACACATGACGATTTTGTGTTATTAATCACTACACACTGTTTGTGATCATGGAGAAAGTCCCCTATCCACGCTAGGACACTAACCCCGAATCCCGTACCCTTCCAGTTTAATTTTCAGGCTTTCATAGGGGAACGCTGTTGAAAGCCTTTGCAAAACCTAGGTACAGGTGCTCCTCTACTTACGAACGAGTTACGTTCCTGAGGCTTGTTTGTAAGTCCAACTTTACTCTTGTAGATACCAAACATATTGTAAAAAATGAAAAGATTTTGGATATTCAGTACAGCTATACTAGGGTGACAATAGTGCATAGGGGTGAATTTCTAAAATTGATTAAATGGAATGGCCATTGGTCCAATACTGCGTACCCATGAAAAAAGAACACAGGCGAAATCCTGGGTCATTTGGACAATATTTAGAGGTAGCTCAAGTCAATTGAAGTTTTATCCTTTTGGCAAAAAATACGAATATTCATAATATGCCGGTTTATTTTAAAATTTACATATTGAGCAAGTTTATGTGTACACTGTACATATAAATGATTAATTCCTTTTTAAAATGAAACTGCAGTGAACACGCTTACATCAATGGGTGGGAGAGGTGTGGACAACCCATTCATTGTTTTCGCTTTTTGCTTGTAAGGTCCTGTTTTGATGTCCCTGGTTGTGACCGCCTCTGCTCTTCAACAACCTGCAGCAGATGTTGACGCTGGTCTTCACTCTTCGTGATCTTGCTGTTGAATGCCTGTATCAAGGCAATCCCTCTCTCTGCAGTGTCGTTGATGACTCTGAGACCACCCACAACTGCGACGCCAGTTTTGAAGTCTTCATCATCAGACCATGTGTCAGGTTCCTTGGACAAAAAAGAAGTCTTCATTTTGAGACTTTCAAATAGAAAGTTTGATCCTCTAGAAGCAAAGTCTGAGAGCTGCTTTGTGGGAAGGGAAGATGTGGCAGGAAGAGCAGCACGTTTTGGTGAATCCTCGGTCGCCTTCCTCTCAACGATTGCCCGAACTATGTTTGTCTTCATTGTTGCATTAACTTGTGGATCGAAGAGTGCAAGACCCACCAAGCCTTCACTGAGGTACCACAGGTGACGACCGAAGACTGTGAGACATGTTCTTGATATTTTGACGTCGTGGTACTCTGACAGGTCTTGGAGGAGCCGCAAATCATTAGCAGGAGCGGAGGATGGAACGGAGGCCGTGAACCATGCACTGACATACACCTCTAGCACAAAGAATGCGAATCGTTTCAAGCCTAATGTCTCACGAGCAGTTAGTTTAAACTGATTAGCAAAAATCAGGATCTTCATGACATAAATGAGCTTAGCCATCCACCGTGCTCGGTGAAGTGCTCCGGGCCGTCGGAGATTAAACTTGGGTAGAGCTCCATCGAGACACCTGATTGCTAGCTTGATTGTGATTCTGTTTCAGACGAAGAACCCAACTCATCATATTCAAGAGCAGAACTGGCTTGATTCTGTTGTAGAGATTGCTTACTCTTGCTTTCTTCCCGACGCTTGATGGAACAAGCAATCTTTTTGTCTACTCCTGCCATTACACCTCTTCTCCCTTTTTCTCGTTGCGCTGCCAGGAATGCTCGGTCTTCTTTGATGGTCAAGAGCTGCATTGCCTTGGGGTGGGCAACATCGAAGAGGTCCTCTAACTCATCACAAAAAGTTTCCTCTTTCTTACGTTGTGTGTCTGTAGTGCGAGTGCAGTTTTTCTTAAGTCCCTTCCACATTAAAAAAAGATCCACTACCTTTTGTCCAATACTCTTCTCAGTTATGGTAGGAATCCGTGCTTTATTCCAGAAACTAATAACCGATGCTGCAACTTCACTCGCAGAATCATTCACTGTTTTCTTATGTTCATTGTGACCGTGGAAAAACAGACGTAGAACATCTCCTCTTGAAGGAAGTTGTGCACCCGTGATTTCGGTTATGTGTTGACCAATGAGCCAAACTTCAGTTTTTGAACGTGTACTCTCCATTGAACCTGAAACAAACAAAAACATTTATGTAACTTATGTTGTTACTGTTATGCAAACAACAGCACCCATAAAGCATACGGCATGCAAGATCACTTGTATAAAGTTTTTTAAGTGTTATATACCTAAATTGATGCATTGATTTTAGACAAAGACAATGGTACTAACCGTAATACTGCAACAAGAGCGACGCACACACACCCACCGTCACGTCTCACACACAACTGATGCTACTGTACCAGTCAGACACTGGCACACAACCTCTTCCCCCTACCCCGACTGACACCCGCCTCTCCCTCCCCTCTGCATTGCCAATAGCTGCACCAGCCAAAATACTCATTACTCATTTTTAGAAAAAATGTTAGGAACAACTTTAGTTTGAATTTGCATTCTACATATACCTGCAAAGTTTCATAGTAATCGGTTCATAAATAAAGAAATTAGAAAAAATCAATAATAATTTCAGTAGTGTTAACTTCAAATGGCTTGAGCCACCTCTAAATATTGTCCAAATGACCCAGGATTTCGCCTGTGTTCTTTTTTCATGGGTACGCAGTATTGGACAAATGGCCATCTAAAAATAAAAACTTTCACTTTTTATTGTCACCCTAAGCTATACCCTTTAATACAGCCCTAAAACCTGGCTCACTCTTCTCCTCTTGGGTAATGTTTGTTCTGTCTGGAATTTTATTCAAAATAATCCAGTCTTTTCCACATTACTTTTACTTTTTACTTTTATCCTCTTCGCCACTGATCGGCTTGTTAGCCGCTTGGGCAATCGGTCACGACTCTTTTCCTTTATATTCTTCACCAAAAGGTCGGCTCGCTAGCCGCCCGGGCGATCGGTCACGTCTCTGTCACGCACTGTTGGCAAATACTGGGCATGCACCGGCTCCTGAATGTACCTGAACCCGCTCCAGTGTTGGTCAAGTCTTCTCTTGAAAGAGCTCACACTCGGTGCCGTCACAACACTTTCTGGTAGATTGTTCCAAGAGTTTACAACCCTCACTCCGAAAAAGTTTGCCCTCACGGTTTTCCGGACTTGCGGCTTCTTCAATCTTGAGCTGTGACCCCTTGTGGGGCGAGCGTCCGCCAGCTCCAAGTAAGGACACTCAACTGAGTAGTGCCCCCTGAGATGCTTATAAACCTCAACTAGGTCCCCCCTTGCCCGTCTGTAGTATAAGCTAGGCAAGTTCAGGCGCTCCAATCTCGCAGGGTAGCTGAGATGCCGAAGTGCAGGCACCAGCTTGGTGGCCCTCCTTTGAACATTTTCAACCAACTGACAGTCCCTAGCATATCTCGGGGACCAGATGGGGTGACAGTACTCCAGATGGGGAAGCACTTCACTCCTGAAGATCGTCACGAGGGACGGACCGTCTAGATATCTGAACGACCTTCTTATAAG